GTAGGTGCTCAGTAAATACATGATATAGTTGAATTTGGATTTATTCTTCTGTTTTTAATCATTTCTAAACATAGAATTTTAGAAAATCTTTCAGACGTTTTCTAAATACCTAATTTTATTTCTTTTCTTTTTTTTAAATTTTATTTATTTATTTATTCCCCCCAAAGCCCCAGTAGATAGTTGTGTGTCATAGCTGCACATCCTTCTAGTTGCTGTATGTGGGACACGGCCTCAGCATGGCTGGAGAAGCGGGGCATCGGTGCACGCCTGGGATCCGAACCCGGGCCGCCAGCAGCGGAGCTCACACACTTAACTGCTAAGCCACGGGGCCGGCCCCCCTAATTTTATTTGTCAGCAATTCTTTGGCTAATTTTATTACCTTTAATTTTTTACCTTTGCTCTTTGATTCATCATTTTTAAATTTATTTTTTTCCAAATTGCTACTTAATTTCCCTAAGATTATTTATTCAGTCATTCTTCCCTTTCATATTACTTTGTAATACTTTCATCATATATCATGTGTGAGTAAATTCTCATATATAGGAGGGGGACAAGGAGAAACTAACTGGAAAGGGGATGAATTAGAATCTGAACTCAGACATCCCTATTTTTCCCACTTCATCACTCTGCTTTCTCGACTATTTTGTCCCATGGGACTGTATTATTATACTGGTACCTTATATTGTTTTATATATGGTAGAATTAGGCTTCTCTTTTCATTTATTATTTCTCTTCCACAATTTTGTGGCTATCCTTGACTCTTTTTAAAAAATGAATAAAATTGAAAATTATTTCAATAACAATTAACAAAACAATAATAACCTATTTCACTGGTATTTTAATTGTAATTATAACTAACCTATATATTAACTTGGGAGAAAGGGACATTTTTTAAAAAGTCTGTCTTCCTATACATAAATACTTGTGTGTGTTTCCATTTATTTGTCTCTCAATAAGGTTTTCTAAATTTCTTCCTCTTGATATTAACAAATTTTCAATAAGCAACTTGTTGATATTTTTAAAATTGGTATTGTAAAAAACCTTTTTTTGTTATATTTTCTAGTTTCTCACATCTAGTAGAAGTCATTTATAAAGTGTGAAAATCATCCTTTTAAAAGCATTAACAAATATTTATCAACTAATATTTACTATGTCCATTTTTAATATGGTCTTAAATACATGTCATATTTTGAATATTTTAAGAGCCTGTGTATTTACGTGTAAGGTGGGTGTGGAAACTTTTTTCCCCTGGTGATGATTCCACATACACATTGGTAAATCAAGACTAACAGAAATTTTGTTTTTCATACAATTTAATCAAAGCATCTATTAAAATGCATTTAGTGCTTTATAATTGAATAAGAACAAGAAATCATTGCTCAGAGTTGTAAACAGCCTATTATAATCTATTTAAAAATTTAAGAAGTATATTGCAAAAAAGTCACTGTATGGCAATACAGTAAAGGAAATACTGACTTCCAAAGAGGTTTTAGCAAAATATGCTAATTCTATTGCAGTTCTTAAGTAAAAATCACTATTGGAGATACAATTTACCATTTCCATTGTCTAATGAACACATGGGCATTGTACATAAGCACAGGGCTACGTTTTATGTGGTTCATGGCTGACATGTACATTTATGTGATTCCATCGTTCTGTTATTTTGTTACTCTGTGTACAAAGACACATAAAAAATAGACGAGTGTGTACATTATTAATATTAATTGTAAAAACCACTCTAGTAGAATTAAAATACATACATGCTAAAATTAAAACATTTGAATCAAGGTCAAGCTATCACCTCAAAGTAGGTCACGCAATTTTCACAATACTTGTATGGCACTGGCTCTGCCTATAATTAAAAAAAGAAAATTATTTCACTATGCATTAGAAAAATTAACTAGCATACATAAAATATTACTTTGTAAATATCTTGCTTAGGATCAGTCTACATTTCTTGAAACAATCTCAAACTTAGAGAAAAGTTGTAAGTACAGTACAAAGATTAATTTTTCTTAAGCCATTTATGAGTAAATTGCCTACCTGATGTCCCATCACCACCTAATACTGTAGAGTATATTTCCTACAATGAGGACATTCTCCTACATAACCACACACAATTTTCTGATAAAAATCAGAAAATTGCCATTGATAGACTACTACCATCTAAGCCTGTTCAAGTTTTGCCAGTAGTTCAAATAATGTCTTTTAGAGCAAAAGGATCCATTTCAGAATCATGAGTTGTTTTTAATCATCATGTTGTTTTAGCCCCCTTCATTCCAAAACAGTCCCTCAGTCTTTCCTCTATTTTCACAACCTTAACTCTTTTTCCATTACAAGGTAGTTCTTTGTGTAATGTTCCGCAATTTCGGTTTGTCTGATGTTTCCTCGTGATTAGATTTGCGTTATGCACCTTTGGAAGGAACACACATTCTTCTCATTGGATCCAGTCAGGTGGAGCACAATTTCAATGTGTCCCTTTGCTGATGGTGTTTACTTTGATCACTTGATTAAGGCGGTGTCTGCTAGGCTTGTCAATTCTGAAGTTAATTTTCCTCCTTTATAATTAATAAGCATTTTATGGGGAAGTACTTTGAATCCACGTAAATAGTCTATTCCTTATCAAACTGTCAATTTATTCATTTATCATTTTATAGCCGCATTGATTAATTGTTTCCTACTTTATTCAATGGGCTATAATCTACTACTATCATTATCTTTATTTTGGTTCCTTTTAGCAAAGATTGATATTTAGAAGCCGAGATCTGGGCACAAGATATGATTCTTGCTGTTGGGATGCTGCAGGTCTCAGGCTCCGTCAGCGGACAGAGCTGGGGAATGTGTGTGTTTATACACACACATGTACTTACATTCACATCTATATTTATGTCTATAGCCATCTACATGCATTGAAAACCATAGCTCACACCGATTCCTCCAATTCCAGTTCAACACCACAGGGTTTGTTTTAGCTTTCTACCTTTCCATATTTGTAACTGCCTTCCCTGACAGGGAGAAAACTGGCTTCAATTAACCTTAACATATTTATGTATTTGATGGATGCAGGATATACAAACAATCTCATTGCTACTGCAGCCCTCCCTGTGCACATTTTCTTTATACCACATGTGGGCTCCAAACACCCCACATCGGTCTCCCCCTTCCACATGGATGACTTCCTCACTTGGCTCAGGCTCTCACACTCTGCACCTGCCCCTATCCCCAGAGATCTCTTCCTCAAAGCATTCAGGCTCTGACTCCCCATGTTGGTCCACCCCTCTGGGGAGATGCCCACCTTACTCCCATCAGGCTCTGACTTTCTGTGCCCCTGTACAGGCATCCTCCTCACCACACTCAAGCACCGACTCCCTGCGCCAGGCTGTCCCTCTGTGAGAATGCCCTTCTCACCCTGCTCAGGTCCAGACATCCAACTTGAACCATCACTCTGCAGAGATGTCCTCGATACTGTGCTGGGCTCTGACACCCTACTCCAGACCATTCCCCTTGGGGACTCCCTCTTCACACCAAGTGTCGGGGCTTGAGCAGGATGAAAAGGGAGTCCCCAAAGAGAGGCAGCCAGCATGGGTGTCAGCCTGAGCGAGGGGTGTGAGGCGCCATGCTACCTCCTTGCATGGACCCCCTCCACACCGTATTTAGGTTCTGACACCCTATTCTGAGCTGCATGGACCCTCACGCCTGCATAGACCCCTTCCTCACTTCTGAGCTCTGACACCCTGTCCCAGGTGGTTCCACTCACTGTCCCGTGGACACTGTCCTCACCCTGCTTGGTGCTAAGGACTGAATCTCTTGAAAAAAGAGTAACTAAGTGAAGAACTTGCTCTTTTAGATATGAATACTTATTATAAAGCTATAGTAATTAAGGCAGTACAGTATAGAGGTAAGGGATAGCCAAATAGACTAATATAATTAAATAGTCTCAAGACACGAATCCACTCACATGTAGATACTTGATTTAAGGCAAAGATGGCATGCAGAGCAGAGGGGAAAGGGAGGCCTTCAATAAATGAAGCTTTTATGTCCTGTTTAAGAAATCGTTGCCTTCTACAATGTCATGAAGACACTTTTCAATGTTATTGTCTAGAAGCTGTATTGTTTTAGGTTTCACATTTATATCCACAGTGCCCTCACACTGAATTTTTATGTGCCTATCCAGAAAAAAAATATGACCCCTACACAAAAGTCTCAGGGTGGTTAGACTTCTTTCATGGTAGTTAGGTACTGAGACATAGAGTTCCAAGAGGAGTTTAAGTTGAGGCTGCAACTCTCTTGAGGCCTGACCTCAGATGTTTTAATGTTCATTTGATCCAGGGGTGGTGACCTGTGAAGAAGATTGTAGAGGGAAAGCTGCAAATCCTTAGGTGGAGCCCTCGTTGCTTTAGAATGAAGTAGAAAAGGGTTAATCTCTTGGCTAGCAGGTCCATATTACAAGCCACCCATGTGAGATTTTGAAAGTAACATTTCAGGAAAAAAAGCTTCTGGCTTTGTTTCCTAAGGAAGGTAGACACCGCCATGATGTCATTAGAGAATGGGTCCAGTAATGCAGCAGCAGCAGCGTTTGATAACCAATGCCTGCAAAACCCACCTCTGGGAAATGGGACTCCTGAGAAACTGCTAGGTTCTCAACGGGGCTTAACAGCACACACAGTGAAAACGCTTTAGCCACTTTAGTTGACGCAAGGTTAATACTAAGGCATTATTGAGAAGCTAAAAAAAAATGTGGATATTAGGTTGCATTCATATGTGTATATTTCATTCATTTATTTATTTGACAAATATTTATTGAATGTCATAGCAAATACTGGCTAGACCCTGATCAAACTCATTTCTCTTATTTTGAGGCCACAGCTAAACTACACTTTCTAGCCCCCCTCAGTGTAAGACGTGGCCAGTGACTGACTTGTGGCAGTAGAGTGGGCCAGAGCGAAGCACAGCGCTCCCAGGGTTGGCCTGTTACCTCTCAGGCGCAGGAAGGAACGCTCATGCACAAGGTCCAGCCTATTCTCGGGTAAGGATTCCAAGGACTGAGGAAGGGTAGAGATAAAAGATGGATCTGGAATCTCTGATTGACTGAGAGAGCAGCCCTTCCCTGGCTGACCTATAGCTGACTCTGACATAAGAGAGACATAAACTTTGATTTTCTTAAGGCACTGAGAGTTTTGGAATTGTTTGTTATAGCAGTTAGCCTTCCCTGATTAATACTAACGCAGTGCCTATTCTGTGCTGGCCCCCATCCTAGATGCCAGGGACACAACAGCAATGGACAAGAGAGACAAGGTTCCTGCTTTCACAGGATATGTTATACAAAGAAGAGGAGCAGACAATAAGCAGTGACCATTTACATTTGCATGATGCTTTACAGTTTACAAAGTGCTTTCCTAGGCACCAACTCATTTGATTTTCATACCAATGTTTTACAGATGAAGACACAGAAGCTCAAAGATTTTAAGTGCCTTGCACAAGACAAAGAGTTAGGAACTAGACACATGGATCAGAGTTTTCTGACTCCCAACCCATTATTCATACCATGATGCTTCTTAAGAATGAGGATAATACAGAGCAAGGAAAGTGTGAGTCCTTGTCAGAAAATTTCATTATTCAATTTTATTTTAAAAACAACATATTATGCAGAAGTGTAAGAATCTTTATGGCAGCACACTAACAGCAAAATAGGGAAACAAAGTAAATGTCCATCATCAGGAGAAGGCATATATTGTAGTATATTCAGAGAACAGAATACTATATGGTAGAGAATATAAACAAACTGAGTGAGCTGCAAGTATTAACGAGGATGAATTTCCAATTATAATGAAGAATGATGAAGGTAAGATGAAGACTACACACAGTATAATGCCATTATAAAGTTTTAAGACATTCTTGGGAACAATAAACACCAATTTTAGGATAATGACTCCCCTGCAGGAGAAGAAGTAGGGGGATGTGATTGGGGAGGGGTACACTGAGGACTTGGACTGTCTTGGCCATATTCCATTTCTTAAGATAGGTGGTAGGTACAACATGATTCTGGATTCTCTTCCATTTGCCCCACCAGATCCATTTTCTGCCCTTCTCAGTCTGGCCCTCTGTTCTGGGAGGCTGACTTTTATGGTCTATTGTAGATCAATGAGTCTCCTTATCCTTCTAGCTTTAGAGGACTGGAAGGAGGGAAGAGGATGAGGTCCCAGATTCCTGACTTCAGGGTAACCTTGGGCTGGCTTGGTCTCTTGACCAAAAGTCACAACTCCGTTAGAGGCCCTCTCCTTCCAGCTCATTCTGGTCTTTGGTATTTGTCCAGTCTCCTTACTCCTTCAGGCCCAGGAATGGAAGTTGCCCCAGTGTTAACTTTCAGCTATTGCACCATTCCTTTTGGTTTTCTAAGACACTGCCCACGCCTTAGTACATGGTCCCTTTATTAAACTCTTTACTCTTCTCAATTACCAGCTTGAGAGTGTCCTCTGCTTCTTGGTGGGTTCTGACTGATAGACTAGGTATTCTTTTTCTGTCTCTCTGTCTCTCTCTCTCGGTCTACACACATACACACACACACACACACACACACGCACACACCTTTTTATCTTTTTTGTATATTTGAAATAACTCATGTTTACAAAAAACTTAAGAAGGAAAAACATTTATTGAGCATTTATTATATGTCAAGCATTGTGATAGGGTTAAGGGTTGGGAATAGAGAGAGAAGCAAGACATAAATCCTCCTGTCACAAGGAAGCCACGTCTAGTAGGAGAGACAGGTGAACAAGTAAAGGCAATGAAGCACAGTGGTTAAGAGCACGGGATTTGTAGTCAGATAGACTTGAGCTCAAGTCCAGGCTCAGCCACCTACTGGTGCCTGATTGTGATCATAAGCTAGAGAGGTTAAAATGGGATTAGTTCTAGTATCTTCCTCACAGGGTCCTTGTGAGGATTAAAAGTAAATCCATTAGCACCTATACTTGTACATATTTCCATATGCTTAGTATAGAGTAAGTTCTTAATAAATGTTACTTAGAATTATTGTTAATTGCAACAGTAGCATTTTGTACCTGGTTTAGAGGCAGCACCTAGGAGGCACTGACTGGCTAGAGCTGAGGAGGTCAAGCAAAAGTTTAATAGGGGAAGTAATGTCTATGCTAGATCTTGAAGAAACAGTAATTTCACCAAGAGATCAAATAGGGAAAGGCAGAGGGAACAGCACGTATAAGAACCTGGAAGAATGAAATAGTATTGTGTGTTCAGGGCACAATGAGCAGTTTGCTATTGCTGGAGGCTCAAGGCCAAGGCATGAAGAATAGTTAGAGATGAGGCTAATGAGTTAAGCAAGGGGTATAGACAAAGAGCCTGGTTTGGACTTGATTCTGCAGGTCAGGAGCATCTAGGAAGGATTTTTAAAACTTTCTTTTTTTTTTTAAAGTTTCTTCTTTTTTTTTTTTCAGGGAGATTGGCCCTTTGCTAACATCTGTTGCCAATCTTCCTCTTTTTCCTTTTTTCTCTCCAAAGCCCCAATACGTAGTTGTATCATAGTTGTAGAGTTGTAGCTCTGCTGTGTGGGACGCCGCCTCAGCATGGCTTGATGAGTGGCAAGTACGTCCGTGCCCAGGATCCGAACCAGTGAACCCTGGGCCACTGGAGCGGAGTGCGCGAACTTAACCGCTATGCCACCGGGCCGGCCCCAAAACTTTCTTTTATTTTGAAATAATTTCAAACTTACAGAAAAGTTGCAAGAATTGTAAAAAAACCTCTGGTATACCCAGGTTCCTCAATTGTTAACATTCTACCACAAATGCCTTATCATTCATTTTCTCTCTCTCTATATATATATACTCTGAACCAATGGTATGACTACAGTGTAACTGTCAAAATCAGGGAATTCTTAAGGATACAGTACAACCAACTTCCTTTATAGCAAAAACATTTTTTCTTTTGGTCCAAAATCCAACCCAGATTCAAGTTGTCATGTCTCTTTAGCCACATCACGTCTCTATAGTCTCTTTCTATATGGAACAGTTTCTCGACTCTTTCTCTGTCTTTGGGACACTGGCATTTTGAAGAGTACAGGTCAGTTATACCATAGATTGTCTTCACTTTGGGTCTGTCTGGCATTTCCTCATGATTAGAATCAGTCATGCATTTTTGGCAAGAACACCACAAAAGATACACTGTGGTCTCAGTGTCTCACATCAGGAGGTGCACAGTCAATTTTGTCCCATTACTGATGATTTTAACTTTGATAACCTAGTTAAGAGAGTATCTTCAAGGTTTCTCCATCGTGAAGTTACTATTTTGCCTTTTTATTTATTTATTTTTTTATTTTTTTGTGTGAGGAGGATCAGCCCTGAGCTAACATCCAATGCCAATCCTCCTCTTGTTTTGCTGAGGAAGACTGGCCCTAGGCTAACATCTGTGCCCATCCTCCTCTACTTTATATGGGACGCCACTACAGCATGGCTTGCCAAGCAGTGTGTCGGTGTGCACCCGGGATCTGAACCGGCGAACCCCGGCTGCCCCAGCGAAGTGCGCGCACCCAACCTCTTGCGCCACCGGGCCGGCCCCGACTATTTTGCCTTTTTAAGTGATAAATATTTTGTAGGCAGTTATCCTGAAACTATGTAAATATCCTGTTCCTTAACAAACTTTCATCCAATGTTTTAGCATCTATTGATGCTTCTTGCCTGAATAAACTATTACTATAATGGCTGCCAAATGGTGATTTTCTAATGCCATCATTCCTCCCACATTTATTAGTTGACATTCTATTGTAAAGAAGAGCTTACTTTTGTCCCACATTTTTTTTTTTATTAGTGTATTTTTATCAGTATGGGCTCATGGATTACTATTTTCTTCAATGGGTTACAATCTGACACTATCATTATTTATTCTGATGCTCAAATTGTCTCTAGTTTGGCCAGTGGGAGCACCTTCAAATTGGCTTCTGTATTCTTTTCATAGTCTCCATCATTTTTGAGCGCTACCTTATATTCTGGTACAATGAGACTTTCTAGACTTATCTTGTACTTTCCCTGCTCTGGCCCTGGAATGAGCCAGTTCTCCAAGGAGCTCTGATTCCTTTTAGTGGAAAATGGTCTTTAGAAGCCAAGATCTGGAAATTAGGTGTGCTCATTGCCATTAGGCCCCATTAGTGGTCAGAGCTTTACACATACAGACACCCCCCCCACACACACACACAGAGTCTATGGTCTCTATCTATCAATCAAAACTTTGAGTTCACATGGGTACTTCTGCTTCTACTTCTACTTCCAATACCACATGATTCATTCTAGCCTTCATCCTTTCCATATTTGTAATTCCCTCCTCAGACAGTGAAAATTTGGTTCTCAATGTCCTTAATTTAGTTACTTATTTGATTTCCCCTTTATGTACCAAGCCCCTGATCTCCTTGACTGTCTCCTTATCTTTGGCCTTGGTGGTCCCACAGATGCCATTAGCTCTGTTTAATTGGCCCCAACTCTGCAGGCTCCGGTCACTTCTTTGACCCTGTCTCCAGCTCCACAGGCCCCACATTAGTGAAGGATTTTAAACAGGGGAAAGGCATGATCAGATTTGTCTCTTAGAACTGTCAGTTTGATGGCAGGGTAAATTCAATGGATTGGAAGCAGTTAAGAGGCTACTGTCATGGTCCTAGCAAAGGCTTAAAATGTCCTAAACTAAAGCTGCAGCCAAAGAATAGAGAGAACATGTAAAAGAAATATTTAGAAGATAAAATCTACAGAACTGAGTGATTGATGTGGGGGAATGAGGAAGGGGGAAGAGCTTAAATTTCAACTCGAGAGATAAGAGTAGATAGAGGATGTCGCTAAGCAAGATAGGGAATTCAGGAGAAAAAGCAGATTTAAAAGGGGTGGTGAAAGTGGGTACATAGAAGAGAACTGTTTCTTTTTGGCCATGTTGAATTTGAATCGTCCATGGACACTGGCAGTGTAGTAGCTAGTTGGGCAGATGGCTTTGCGCTTGTGATTAAACACTATCTCAAAACTGCTCTTCTCTGTGCAAAATTCCAGGGAACCTAGTGCCTCAGGGCCAAAGGACCCTTTAGAAACGCCAAATTCTCATCTGAGACTCTTGAAGTCCATTTTTCCTCCTGGAAGTGGGCTGGCTGAACTTTGCCCACAAAAATTAAAACAGAAATTGGATGTCCAATGGGGACTTGGTAAAATCTCAGAATAAAGAGAAGAATAAAACAGGGACTACGACTGACAGAAGTTAGTAAAAATCTCTTACGTTTTGTCACCTTTTTTATACTTAAACAAAAGGGATATAGGTAATGATCTTAAGAACAGCCAGAAAGCTGGTCTTAGGAAGTTGATCTCACTCAGCAGCTTGTCTTGTGGGGGTGAAGAGGACCAAGGAAGAAGGAGCTGCTGGCAAGGCTAACTAATAATGATAATAAGTACCACTTACTAAGTTCTAAAGCACTTCACAAAGTCCATCTCATTTAATTAACATAAAACTCTATGAGGTAGGTACTCTAACCTGTATTTTTCAGACATGGAAAATGAGGTTAAACAAGTTACTCAAGGAAAAATGACTAAGGAAGAGCGGTTGCAGGCAGAGGTTTCAACTCAGGTCTGCCTATCTTAATGCAACATCTGTGCTCTTAACTGCCCACAGCACTGCTTTCCTAAACAAGGAAGCAGCAGCCTCCAGAGCAGACCGCCAGCAAGAGCAGGTGAGTTTCCAGTCTCCCTGTGCCCGAGAAGAACCCTGAGGGTTTTCTGGACTAGAATTTTAAGGAATTCCTGTTCCTCTGTTTGATTAGCCCAATCCTGGACACAACTGGAATTCCCCCTGAGTAGAAGGACAAACATTGCAAGGGATCTAAACATACTATAAACTACAAAGGACTACTGTAAGAACTGACAAAACCATAAGACATGATAGTGTCAAATATATTAAGAGCCATCATATAGAAAAGGAATAGGACTTACTGTTTTTTTCTAAATCTGAGTAATTTATGGCATAGCGCTATGTGAAAATGTAGAATAAAAAATTCTATCAATAACTGCAAATAAGTAAACATTGAATATGCACGTGGATAAGGATTGAAGGTAACAAGGACAACATGGTTGTTGTATTGTGGCCAATTTGTGTCTTGGCTTTGATTTTTTTTTAGTATTGTTCTGCAGAAAAGAAATTTCAACAAATAAAGCAAACACATAAAAGAAGAAATACAAATGCTATAATCAGAAAAATGTTCAGCCACATTATCTAATAAAAAATAAAAAAAGATATCATTTTCCATTTATCAAAATGACAAGCCTTAAAAACAGATAATACCCAGCACTAGTAAGGTCTCAGAAAATAATATCTCTAGTATAATTCTGACCAGAGTGTAAATTTGTATACACTTTCTGAAGAAAAATTTGTCAAACTATAAAAAAACAGTAAACAGTGACAACCCTTTGATGCAGCAATTCCACTTTTTCTTTTTTTTTGTGAGGAGGACTAGCCCTGAGCTAACATCTGCTGCCAATCCTCCCCTTTTTTCTTGAGGAAGACTGGCCCTGGGCTAACATCCGTGCCCATCTTCCTCCACTTTATATGGGACGCCGCCACAGCATGGCTTGCCAAGTGGTGCGTCGGTGCATGCCTGGGATGGGAACCTGCTAACCCTGGGCCACCGCAGCGGAGCACGTGCACTTCACCGCTGCGCCACGGGGACCCCAGCAATTCCACTTTTAAGAATATACCCTAAGTAAATAAGGATATATGCAAAGTTCTAGCTAAAAGAGTATTCACAGAAGCCTTGTTTATAATATATAACAATGAAAAATAACCTAAATGTCTATTATTAGTGAATTTGGTTCAGTAAATTATGCATACAATAGAACATTATGCAGACATTAAAATTATGTGGTAAAAGTATATTTAATGATAGTAAAGGAAGTTTACAACATAATAACTGAGGAAAGCAGGTAACTAAATACTCTGCATGATATAGTCCAGTTTTTGTTAAAAAATATTTTATATATACGTATATATACACATTACATATATACATACACATATACATATATTTGGTGGTTGATTTCTTTTTGCTTATGTGTATATAACACTTAAATTTATTACTTGATTTTATGACATTATTTGTATTGCTTATACATAGCAAAACAAAGTTATTTAAAATAAAATATGAGGTTTTCTCATCTATTAAATATGGAAAGTTTTTAAAAAATATATGGATTATATATTTTTTAACACAAAAAGTTGACAGCACTTAGTTGATGATCAATAAATAGGAGTTCCTCTCTTCTCCCTAGTGACAGTAGGTATTTAAGCACAAGTTACAAAATGGCAGATCTGGGATGTAGTTGCACAGATTTAGGCACCAGGTTTGCATCAGATGACCTCTAAAGCTCCTTTCAACTCTGACATTTCATGATTAATACAATTCTCCCCCATCTACTTCTTAAACAATCAACTGAGAATAATACAAAAAATTATTGTTTGTATTGAATATCTAGTAGCTGTTGTTTTACCATTACTAGCACTGTAGATTGTGAATGCAGGGGGGCAGTGTGGAAAAAAATTTGGGCACGAGGGAGGGCCGATGCAAATCCCAGCCCACCTCCTCAATGACAGCTCCCTGGTTGGCTCCCTTTTTTTGTGAATGAGCGGGGGTGTGTGAGTGGGGGGGGTCCCGAGGCCTCAGAGCAGACGCTATCAGTGAGCAACAGAACTTAAAAAAGGGAATTAGCTCCCTTTCCCAAGGGTAGACCAACGCAGAGGAGTGGAAAACCCTTTCCAACCGCCTGGGTGTGTGGGGCACATTCAGGACCCTGGGGTCCAGTCAGCAAGGGACGACTGGGCAGGGCTTCTCCGCGACGGCCGCACCTGGCTTTCTCTGCCCGGCGCCGGAGGTCGCGCCCGCGGGAGCAGAGACGGGACGGCGCCCGGAGGCGGAGGTCTCGGCGGAGCTGCTCGCCCGCTGCCCCACGTGCGCGCCGGCGGCCG